AATGGATAAGAAAACAAGATCCTTCAATATGCTGTCTGCAAGAGACACATCTCACACACAGAGACAAAAACAGATTAAAAGTTAAAGGATGGAAAAAAATGTACCAAGTTAATTGCAATAAAAAATGAACAGGAGTGGCAGTACTAATCTCTGATAAAATAAACTTTAAGGCAAAAAACAGCATAATATATAAAGATCGACATTATCTCATGATTAAAGGGACAATTAAACAAGATGAAATAACCATAATAAATATCTATGCTCCCAATGAAAGAGTTCCAAAATATATAAAACCAAGTACATAGAACAAGTACCTGACTAGCATGTAGTTGTTGTTGTTGTTGTTAAGTACTGTGGAGTCGGTTGCAACTCACAGTGACCCTGCACAGGGTTTCCAAGGCTGCAAATCTTTACAGGATCAAGTAGACACTCATTATTTATAGAATTAAATAAATAATAGCCATATTCTTTATTGATACTATTTTTGCTGCTGTTGCCATATATTGAGTACTTTCCATTTGCCTGGCACTGTACTGTTTTTGTTGTTAACTGCTGTTGAGTTGGTCTAAAATTCATGACAACCATGGGATCAGTTTTCATTGGCTGATTCTTCTTATTCTGTCTTGGTCTGGAAGTGCCACTGAAATCTGTTCAGCATCGTAATAGTACATAAGCCTCCACTGACAGATGGATGGTGATTGCACCTGAAGTGCATTGGTTAAGAATTGAACCCAGGCCTACCCTAGGAAGGTAAGAATTCTACCACCGAATCACCACTTACGTGCAAGGTACCTGGTATATGAAGGGGCTTCAGTAAGTTCATGGAAAAAATCTATGATCTTTTCATTCCATTTTGCCATAAACATTTTTAAGCCCCCTCATACTATTTCTGGTCTCTACAACCCTACTATGAAGAATGTGTGATTTTTGATCTTATGTGGTTAGAGATATTCTCATTTTTTTTCCTACTAGGAAACGGACTCCTAGAGGTAAGTGACTTGCCAAAGGTTGTACAGGTAGAACTGGGATTTAAATCACACCAAGTGTGGCAAGCACAAAAATCTGAGATCTTTCTGCAAAAGCAAACTTTTGTTTTACCTTCCTAAAGAAGCTTTGAATCTTGAAAGTTTTGTTTTCTCATACTCACTTTCCAGTTTAAGAGAAATAGGAACAAAACTCTGAACTTTCGAAACAATTACAAATTCAAGATGTGGCTGATTTCTATAAATTTACTTGGTCACTACATGTGAAGATTCATATTGTCAGGTTGAGGCTAATCCAGAGGGGATTTTGGATGGAGTGAGTATAATTTTGTGTTCCTTATGTTATTGTACCCTGTCCTGCTGTTCTGTAAAAGGATTTTTTACTTCTACAATAGAATACAATATTAAAAACTTAAAAAAATAATAATAATGTATTCAACAAGTATTTACTTGTACCTGACACCATTCTAGGCGCTAACGACACAGGAATGAATAAGACATATAAGGTCTTTGGCCTCTTGGAGCTTAGATAGTTATTAAGTGCCATTAAGTCATTTCTGACTCATAGC